TGACTATTTTTTTTTTAAAATTTCCGTGACAAATCCGTGACTAGACCGTGACTAAACTAGTCACGGACGAAATCCGTGACTAAAATCCGTGACTATAACGCTGTTTTTTTGTAGTGAAAGGCTCCCACCAACGAGGGGGGCTCGGACGTGAATGGTTATGATTATGAATTTCATCGTGTGTGAAGAGTTTTCATCGGATATTATATCTAGATTATTGGTGATTGCGCTAATTATGGCAGTTACGACACCTGCTCCTGTGTTAACGACGATAGTATCAACCAAAATTTTGACGCTTTGTTTCCGGCTCTGGGGGTTTCCTAGAGAAGTTGTTGTGATGCCAAAGTGCACTTCCATTTCTTATAGTCCAAGTGCGGCTCTCTTGCATGTTGTGAGTGTGAGTTGAAACTTGGAAGGGCCAAAAAGTGGATTGGGGTAGTCTTTTAATTTTAGTTGGTATTTTGTCAATGCAGTTGTTTTTAGTTAGATTTTGTTTTGCTCGTGTTTTTCTTGTTTTCTTAAAAATAATGCAGATTAGATTGGGTGATGACTGATGAGGAGTCTTTTTTGTTCACTTTTGGCTCAATTGTGATCCTTTTTGTGATCATCGAGATACTATCCTCCGTGACATTGGAATTTACACACTATTCATATACTCTACTTTAGAAAATTCTCATGCTCGTCTCTTGCCACTCATGCCCAAGCTCGCTTATTCCTTGTCAGATCAAGTGACGCATCGACGTTAACTTTGATACTTCCCGAACCCAGCTACTTCCAACCCATGCATTTGCGCTCCGCACTAGCTCTACCTCCTGCCGCCTTCTGAGCTTCTTGCCAGCCACACAGAACCGCCGACCCAATTTCCAGACATTGCTGCCTATTGCCTTCATTGTTTTTTCATATTTTATAGTTCAGAACATTTCATAGACTCCACAAATTAACAATGAAGCAACATAACTCTTCACCCTGTGAATTTTCATTTTTTGAAACCCAGTTAGTTAAATCTTCTTCATGTTTGACAAAATGGGGTCCCAACTTTGTGACCATGGTGCAACCGCCACAATACCCAGAATATTTTCTTCACTCTCCTGTCGATGTATCAAGGTTCTAAGCCCTTCCGCCAACAAATTAAATAAATAAATATGGGGATAAGGAATCCCTTTGCCTCAGACCTCTGCTAGGTGCCACTGGCCCAATCATATCATCATCAAAAGGAATAAAATATTCCACCGTTGATATATATTACATAATCAGACCAATCCATTTTCCATCAAATCTCATGGCTTACATTAATTCCTCTAGATAACGTCATTCAACTCTGTCATATGCCTTGCTCATGTCTAATTTTAGGGCTACATACCCATCTTTCCCATGTGTCTTCCGTTTTAGGCAGTGTAAGGACTCAAATGCAATCATAACATTATCAATTATCGACTTGCCTGGGACAAAAACACTTTGGTTTGTGGCTACCAGACCATTGAGAATATACTTTAATCTATTTGCCAAAACCTTACTAAAAATTTTAAAGACCACATTACACAGAGCTATAGATCTCTAGTCCTCCATTTCCTCAGGCATATATTTCTTAGGAATTAATACAAGATTAGTTTTATTTACCTCTGTTGGGAGTCATCCTGTCACCGAGATTGCCTGGCAGAATTTCATGACATCCTCCCTCACAATCTCCTAGTACTGTTGAAAAAGGCCGAATTTAATCCATCCGGCCTTGGTGCCTTGTCCGGGTGCATAGCAAACATAACCTTTCTAACTTCAATGGCGGTAATCAGTTTTACCGGCTCCTGATTCTGTCCTGGTGTCACCTGTGCTAGACCGGTCATAATAATACTCTCCCTGACTAGGGTTGTTAACGAGCTGAGCAGAGCCCGAACACCTAAAGCTCGAGTTCGGCTCGATAAGGAATTAATCGTGTTCGGGTTCGAGCTCGAAGCTCAGCGAGCTTTACAAATGAGGCTCGTGTTCGGCTCGATAAGCGTTTGATGTTCGAACCGAGCGCTCGATAAGCTCGATAAATATGGTCGAATTTAAAATTTTAGGTGATGCTCGTTAATAGGCTCGTGTTCGTATGATTCGACAAGTATTCGGTTCATTAATAATCATATTTAAATTCATAAAAGCATACTAATTATCTTTAAATTTTGATTATATATAAATTATATTTATACTTTCAATGTGTTCGATAGGCTCGAGTTCGAATCGAGCCAAATACTATTATGTTCGAGCTCGACTCGATTAATTTTTCGAACTTAAAACTTAGCTCGAGTTCGGTTCGAAAGCTCGTTAAGCTCGGCTCGTTAGGTTCGAAACCGAGCTCGAACTCGTATATTTCGATAAAAGCTCGGTTCGTTAACAGCCCTATCCCTGACTACATTTTGAAGTAAAAAGCCCTGCAAAATACTCCTGCACCATATTGTTTCCCCGGTCCGTCTCCCACTCCCACTCCCCATTCGGTAATCTCAGCCCTTTCATATTGTTTCCTCGCCTCCTTTACTTCCGCATTATGAAAGAATTTTGTGTTTTCATCCCACACTCATTCAACCGTTGCCAGATATGCAAACCATACGAATTATTCCAGGCCCGTTGGATAACTTTCCGGCATTCACTTTCTGTTGAATGTCTTCCTCCTCATGTATTTGTTCTCCTTATTCTTCCGGATGTAAAACATTAAATGGTCATTGGTAGGACCTTCAAGAGACATAGCCCGGTGACCTCCAAACAAGGATAATTAGTCCTCATTTACTAGAATCATGTCTAAATTTTCCTCAATCCATTGTGAGGTGCCTCACCCTCTTTCCCAGGTCCATTGATAACCTTTAGAAGGTACATTCACTATGTAACACCCTCTACCTGTCTCGGAAGACTAAGGCAGGGAGCGCTACTTGCATTTCCGGAGTACCAAAGCGCAAACTAACTTTCTATTATCTTTTTCAATATTCTAAAAATACTTTTATTTTAAAAAACGAATTAGTGATAATAATTTTACAAAGAGTTCATAATTGCGGAAGCATCTTTATTTTATATATACATAACACGTAAATGTTTAGTGTTGTCATTACATTACAATAGTAAGCTAACTACATATTTATTATGCAAACTAAAAATGCAAGTGTGACTCTGTGTTGATTGGCATGTTGCTCCCAAACGCTTTCCTCTTTAAATTTTGCCTCGTATTGACTATATACCTACGCGAAGGACAAAAATCTAACGCACTAAGAAAATATTGCTTAGTGGAGTTCATTCTTTCTCCATACATTATCAATATCAGATAACACAAAATAACTCAACAATTAAAAATAACATGTATTGAAAAATATAAATTCCTACACATTGATTTTTACCCATTAACTTAAGTATCTCATAAAAGTACACTTTGTTTCAAGTAACTAAAATATATATTCGTACATATAATACAAAAAAAATCAACTCTTTAATTAAAATCTAGATAGTTAATACTCATAACTAATTCAATTCCTTATTAGTTTGTGTTAGGGAAAACACGACCCCTGATCTCTTCCAGGATCACCAGCTCAAGGGACTCTTGTACATTTACTCACCCACTCGTAACACAAAGATTCAATCTAACAATATCACTTTGTATTATACAATTGAAATGTACCAAGAGATATTTTACAAGTAAACGGTAGCTCACATCACTCTTTGTATGAGACTACTTCACTCTCAGTCTCCTATCTCAAGGAGGCTCTCTCTCTAGGCCCTCACTCTAGAACCTCCTCATGGCTCTCACTCTAGAGGCTCTCAAGGAACGAAGAGTGTCATCCCTATTTATACCACTCTTCTCAAAGCTTCTCTAGAACTTTCTATACATCACTACATTTTTAGATTCTTCCAAGAACTATCCACAAGCTTCTCTAATCTTCTAGAAGGATCTAGAGAACTCCACATCTCTTGAGAATGTTCTAGAGGCTTCCACACACTTCCACACGATTCTAGAGAATTCCACACTTCTCTAGAAAACTCCACAATGTTTTAGAATATTTTACACTCTTCCACACGCTTCTAGATAATTCCACGTCTCTCTAGAAAGTTCCGGAATATTCTAGAACATTCAATATTTCTCTACACACTCTAGAGAATTCTAGACATCTCCGCACTATTCTAGAATTCTCATTAACTTCTCAATTAAGGTCTTTAGGGAGGGAACCCAACAGTTTGTAACCAGATTCGATATAAAATTCCTTTTTGCTACATTAAGGTATTAAACATTTTTATCATAAAAACAAACCGGTTTATATTAAAATGGTGAAATTCATACCAATAATCCGTACTTTTAGTGGTTCTACAATAATAATCTCTACTGAAAAAGTTAGTACAAATAATCCAAACTCATAAATGTGTCTACATAGATAGATTAAACCTTCATAGATAGATTATTATCCTTCAAGAAAATAATTATAGTAATGATATAAAAAACACAAAACTCCCATGTATGACAATGGTGAACAAAGTTAATACTGTATCGTTATATATTAAATATCAAAAAGATTAATCGAATCTGTCTATGTAGACGTGTTTATGAGTATGGATTAATTATATAGACATCTTCGGTAGGGATTATTATTATAGAACCACAAAAAGTATGGATTATTGGTATGAACTTCGCCTATTAAAATCATAAGAAAGAAATCAATACAACAAACTCAAAAAGATCAACCCTGAAAACAATTATCCCTAACCAACTAGCACTATCAACCCTACGGCTAGACTAAGAGACGATCACCTATGAAAGAGTAATATGGATCACTGACCACCAAAGAAATGAGTAAATACGAGACTACCAGAGTTATGTACGAAAGAAATGATTAAATACGAGTAATACTCATTTACTCCCTCCGTCCCCCTAAGTTTGTCCCATTATACCTTTTTCGTCCGTCTCATTAAGTTTGTCTCATACCATATTTGGTAATATTTGAATGGTTACAATCTATTCTTACTTTATTCAAACTTTATCAATTCAATATCAACCACTCAATTCCACTTTTTTAAAAATGTTGTGTCACACTCTCTTGTCCCAAACATAGTGGGACGAAGGTAGTACTCGTATTAGTTTGTAATCAAAGAAATGAGTAATACGAGTAAATACGAGACTACCAAAGCATGTACGTAGTATATTAGGGAACACTATCAAATAAGCACCTCTACTTTTTTAAAAAAAAAAGGAAAAATTGACAAGAACAATCCCACCTTTTATTGATCTTCTCATAATAATCCCACATTTATGTAATCCAAGAATAATCCCACATTTGCACCTCATCTTCTTTCATTGGACCCTGACCTATTGATGACCTACAAAGGTGGGATTATTTATAAAAGATTTAAAAAAACCGTCCAATGAAAGAAGATGGGTGCAAAGGTGGGATTATTCTGGGATTATGTAAAGGTGGGGTTATTATGATAACAGTGAAAGGTGTGATTATTCTTGTCAATTTTTTCTTTACAAAATCAATTAGACCCTCGATTAAAATTCCGCTCAATCAAACCCTGGAACTCATTTTTAAGTGGCAAACCTTCCCTTTTAACCGGTAATGAATTTTTTGATCGGTTACTGCACACACATGGAGACCCACATGACAGTTTTTTTTTTTTCGTTTTTTTTTTCGTTTTTTTCTTTTCCTTTTTTCCTTCTCCTGCTCCTTTCGTATTCACCACTTCTTCCATTTCTTCCATCAACGTCAACCCTTTCTTCTCCCAATTCCCACCCACCAGTCGTCGGCCAGTCCTTCACTCCGCAGCTTGAGAGAGACCCACGTCGCCGGAGATTCTCGGGTACCAACTACATGCCGGAGTGGCGGACGCCTCCTTCTCACAAATCGCTCATCTACTGCCCACGAGTCGATGGCTTCTGTTAAACTTCCAGGTCGGCGACGGTGCTCCGTGAGACCTCTAGGCCGGCCATTTCCAGATCCGCTGTAGCTTCAATTCGGACGCCGCCCTAGTCGACGGAGGAGAAGTGGGGAGCGGGAGTGAAGTCGGAGGGAGGTGAGAAGGGTGAAGTGAGGCCAGAGAAGTAGAGAAAGAAGAGAATGGGAAAGAAAGAAAAAATGTGCAGGCGTGCGCAGGGAAGAAGAAGGGAGCGGGAGTGAAGAATGAGAAAGGAAATGAATCCAAAGGAAAATGAAAAGGAACTGGTAGCCATCAAAAGGAACATTTATCAATCCACTGCCCCACACCGCATCACGAAATCCCGCCATCATCCAAAGGTCTAGGGCATCACCCTCTTTTTTCATGTTCCTGCATAATGTCATTAAAATCGCCCACAACCAACCACGAGAGATCACTACAATCTGCCAGCTCTTTAACAAGTTCCCACGAGGCCCTGCGTCTGTCACTCTCCGGGCAGCCATAGAACCCAATGAGCCGCCATGTTAATTGAGACAAACCGCCTGTGACCTGTACATCAATATGGTTCCAAGACGAGCTTTCAACAGTTATATCATAATCATCTTTCCATAGCAGCGCCAATCCACCACTTCGGCCCACACAATCCACCGAAAACACATGCTGAAAACCCAATGTTCTTCTAATGCTTTTCATCTTCGGCAACCTAGTGAGCGTCTCCATGAGGAAGACAATGGATGGGCGATAAGTCGAAACAATATCCGCTAAAACTTGGACAGTGGGCGGGTTCCTCAGACCCCTGCAATTACAACTTACACACCCCATAGTTTACACAATAACCAAACAACACTCGACCAGGCTGCTTAACAACCGGCGAGGACAAAATACTTCTCCACGAAACGAGGGAGACAAAACCACCGAGAAAAAGACTCGAGACGACACATAGAAAGGAAAATTGAACCCAGAGATGTAAACCGCAAACTTACACCCTAGATTAGTCGAGAGTCATATGTGTGCACATATCGACGGCGACTGCTCCGCCCCATGCCGGCGATTAGGGTTCGCGATCTTCTGAATTTGGTTCTTAGACGGACTGTTCTTAGCCGAATCCTCGTTGTAAGCGGTTGAGAGCTAGCTGTGTTCAAAATCCTTCACCGTAAGCGGTAGATGATCAACGGCGCTGCACCAATCGTCATGACTCTGGTTCAGCGTGCACTACTGCGCTTTTATTTTAATTGACTTGAACATGTTTTTTTCTCAAAAAGATTACTCCCTCCGTCCCGTTAGAAGGTTTCCACTTTCCTTTTTTGGACGTCCCGTTATAAGGTTCTCATTTCCATTTTAGGAAACAATTAACAATCTTAAGTGACAAATTAGTCATTAAATATTACAAATAATACATTTATAACATCACAGTTATCAATGCTAACACATTATAATATATACCTATTAAAATTATTTCTCAAAATAAACTCGAAGTACTTTATTTAATTATCACCTAAATAACCGTGTCGTTTTGCTATGAGAATCTTCTAGCGGGACGGAGGTAGTAGTAAACAAACTTCAGGGTACGCCACGGTCTAAAATAGACTAGGCTGAATAATGACCAGTCTCGGGCCTCAACATATACGAGCACGGTCTATTTAAACAGAAGTCTAGCTTGACTGATTCCACCCCATGGAGATTAGAGAGTAGAGACTTGTCCACTTTTGATTTTTCACTTTTAAGTTGGACTTGATTTGGCCTCCAGACCAAACAAGATTTAAAATATACCCAAATTTAGACGTAAAATACACATAAACATACATTTACCATACCAAAAGATTGAACAGTGATCAATGGTAAAATAGTAGAGACTAATCACCCAAAATTTATTCATTCAGTTAGAATAAATTGTAATGTACTCTCCTACAACACACTTAACGCCTCAAAGGCTCAAATGATCAAACCATTACAACTCATATAATTTAAACTAATCATTCATTGAAAACGGTTCAAACTACTGTTTCAGAAAATTATAAACAAAACCAAAAAATCTATGTTATCTGATGCTATATTATAGCTGAAAATAGGGCTCATCACTTTTTTCTCCACTCAGTACGACCCCTAGTTATCTCAACTCCACCACTGGATAGTCTAAGCAAATGCACGAAGCGCTTCCGATCACTGTTAATGGATGCCGGCTCATCAAATGGTTCAAGGCTTGTGAGAGAATCAACCACATCATCGTGTTGGCATTCTCTTTTATAGTCCAGTGTGATGGTTTGCAGCTCATATGTGTCAATGATTTCTTGAGGCATACTCTGTTTTTAAGAAACCCATGTTAGCAGTCTTGCACCTTATGATAATAGATGCATGATGGCAACAGCAACAACTGTATTATACCAATGCTTCAACTGGAGTTATGAGGGGTCTAGTGGGTTTTATAAGGGAAATTTGTCATTTCGCCACATGTTTTACCACAATTATTGGCTTTGCGTTTCGTGTTTTAGTTCGTTTGACTTTACACCCCGAGGATGCAAAGTCAAATATTGCCATATTGTGATAAAACATGGGGTGCAAAACGCAATCATCAAATTTCAGTTCTTTTTTACTGGAGTTTTTACCAACCTCTAGTACCCATCCAATGTAGGTGACGAAGTTAACATGGTGGTTCATGTCCAAATCACTTCTTCTTGGCTGCAAAGTATAACTGAATATGTCAGTACTCCCTACACACATCAGGGTTCTACCACAACACTTAGGGTCTGTTGGGAACATGAAAAATTTTAGCAAAACAAAATAGAGAGGTAAATATAGGGGGATTTTGAAGGAAAGAAAAATGTTCAGGAAAGTATAACATTTTTTTGACATCAATAAATTTATTTTTAATGTTTGATTGTACTTGTGTTTGTGTATATATTTGATATGGAGTAAAGAAATAAGTTAACTTTACTGAAAATTTCAAAATTTGACAGATGGCAAACCATCCAAGAGCCCTTAAGGACCCTCCTGCAAGAACAACACTAAAATTGGCTGATTACTTTATTATCAACTCTTATTGTCCTTCAAAGGAAGGTCTAGTTTATAGGCAAGAGAAGAGTTTATTAAGTAATACAATTCAACCCATTCGATCAGTTTGTCCCTGACTATTTGCCAACCACAATCAATAATCAACCAACACAGCTATCGCTCATTTGTTCGATATATTATATCTTTACTGCTAGATGATATTTCTCAGGCATATCATTATTCCTATCGTAAATTCTAAGCAATCCTATTATATTAAAAAAAATTAAAAACACAGACTATTTTTCATTTTCCATTGTATTTTCCCTAATAAATCCAAATATAACAGAACGACTTTCCGTAGCATTTTCTTTCCTTTCCCTGGCATTTTCTGGGGTCAAACCCAGCCATAGTATTACAAAGTGAATACTTACCACTAGCCGTAGGACAGAATACTCGGCAGGATCTTCCACCTTAAGTATTTTCTTTGAGCTGGAATTGTTCTTCTCATTGAAAGAAAACCTAGCAATAGATAAGCTCATTACTATTAAGGATGTTTTTACTTGGACTGTAATTTGCTGGTCTGGTCTGGTCTGATCTGGTCTGGTCTGGTCTGAACTGGTCTGATCTGGTCTGGTTTCTTTGTATTTTTATAACTATCCAAGTCTGGTCTGGTCTGGTCTGAACTGGTCTGGTCTGGACTGGTCTGGGACAAATTACAGTCCAAGTAAAAACATCCTAACACTCTACTTAAGAGCATTGGGACACTCTAATAGATGGAAAACATTATAAGCACATAAGAGAAAGAAAACAAGCACTCCATCTTTTAACATCAATATGGTACTTGAGAACCATCTTGAAAATATTTGGCACATCAAATGATCACCGCCATCTTCATGATCACCAACACCTAATTCCTTCTATGGTCAGTGGCATATAAAACTAAGTGCCACTAATGTTTTAAAAGTTAGTCAAAAGTGTATATATGGAAAACTTTTAATGGCAAAATTTTACTTCAATGAAATTCCACAACTGATCATCGCAGATTTTTCTTTCTAGTTACCTGGAAAATATCTTGACACATCCACAAGTTCAGATAGTTACTGCAGTTATGTCTCATTACACAATTGATATTGGATAATCAACAAGCGCATAATGGAACATGACCTAGCACATTAAAGGAAGGGAAGAAGACTAGACAAATAGTATCGCATGCATAATTGCACTACAATCAATGATGACTTGTTGGTAGAAAGCTTACATGAGAGCATTAATATAGCTTCAGAGTATTAAGCATATAGAACAGAAAGCAGGCATTTGTTAACACCAGTACACACAGAGAAAGAGAAAAGAGAAGAACAAAAAGTATAAACCACTACTCCATTACTAAGAGCATAAAGAGGGTAGAAAAAAGCACAATAGACAATAGATGCTATAAACACAAAGATTAGAAAAGCGCAAAAATCAAGATAGTGAAGAAAGGCACGGGCTTTCTGCTCTGTTGCACCATTGCATTAGTTTTATTAATGGGATCAATGCATTAAAAGTTTGAGCAGTCATCAAATCACATGAACATTGGGAAAAAAGTATAGAGAAAGGAATACTACTTTTACCTTGGTGGGTTGGGGCAAAAAGGTAGCAACTCATTACGAACATCATCAACAACTTTCTGAAGCCGTCTCGTGTCTTGGTTCATCATCAACCACATGCTGCAATTAATTAAAACATTTAAGTATCTGTTAGAGCATGAACCACATAAAGGAAAATCAGTAGGTGAAAAGACTTGCGGTAACAGTAATGATGTTTCTTAGATATAAAATTTATCATTCAGAGATTATACTATATACGTACTACACCATATAATATAAGTATATAACAGCACAATAAGTGGCCATAACTGTATATACATATTCCACTACACCTGGTGCATCTTCCAATCACTTCGCCGTTTGCACAGTCCTTAATTTCCCAATCACGCCGAGTCCCAATTCTTCCCTCACTGGCAATCCAAGTCTCTATCTCTATGACATCACTCCTGCTCAAACAATGAGTTGATAATACAGTTCGTGATTTCAACATAATAATTGTACATGGAAGAAGGAAATTAGTACACTACCAGGCAGGGTACTTAAAAATCTCAATGTGCATTCGTGCAGCAACCCATATAAGGCGCAACTTCCTCATGGTGTCAGTTGTCGCGAATCCATCTGTTGAAAATCCTGCACTCTGAGCATGGTTGCATGAAACCTCCTGCAAACGAAAATCTTAAAAAAATCAACTTCAGATCTGTAGAAGCTGGATTGTTAGGAAATGGGTTAAGAAAATAAATAAAGAATCAGGTGTTACTAAAAATTAAAAAAACCTGAAATGTCATCAATCTTAAATTGAACAATGTATCTAGCACTCTAGCAGATTGAGTGACATTTAAATTGTCAGAATTACGGATGTCGCAAGGAGAATCGAGTTAAAACTGGAGGACTTGAGATAAATCAAAACAAGATCCTGGTGAAAGGAAGATGATTGAATGCTAAAATTTATCCGTGCCGAATTCTTATGTGTAGAGAAGAGAGGCCATTACCTGCAAGAGATTGGCGATTGATTCAATGGTGGCAGTTTTGTTGACCCCGACCTCAGAGCATCGAATGATATACTTCTCCTTGAACGACAACCTGTCTGCCTCAAGGCTACCATGCCGTAGCCGACTAGCAAGGGTAGCCTCAGAGGCTGCCGGCTCACTAATCTTGGGCTCCTGAACTGACACGGCCATAACCGGAATAGGACGTAGAGATTCGCCGAGAACGACGGCATTCCGGCGTCGATTGAATGTCAGATTGCTGGGATGGAGAAAATGGGGAGAGTTCAGGAGGGCGAAATTGGATGTGCCACGAATGGAGTTGCAGGTCGACAGCATTGTATATGAATGAATGAATGAATTCACAGGTACGCCGGCGAAATGGGTTCCAGTAATTATTCTCTTGAATGAATTCAAGAGATTGTTCGCTCCAGAGAGTAGTTCTGGTGAGCAGTTTTATAGCATCGGCGACTTTGGCGATGAGAACGATGCTGCAAGGATCCAGATTAGAGGTGGAGGGAAATGACACTGGGTATTTGTACGAAGTATATAGCGCGTGGGCATATATATGCGAAAATCTATCTAGTTCGGTCTCATAAATACTCTCGTCCCCTTTAAATGTCTCGTTTTACTATATTGGGATGTCCTATTTAATTGCCTCATATTTTATTTGGTAAATTTTGTGTGGCTCAAAATCATTCTTACTTTATTCTTACTTTATCAATTAATATCAACCACACAAACTCACTTTTCTTAAAACTCGTGCCACCATCTCCCGTCCCATTTAAAAGGGGACGGAGGGAGTACTTTGTATACCAAGAGAACATCCCAAATGTGTACCAATACTTTTTTTTAGAAAGTTTCAACAAGTTTTAGAATTTTAAAATTAAATTGTTGTTTTCCCCCCTAGAAATAGTTGCACTACTAAGCATTAACATGACATTAATGATTTTTGTACAATGCACTGTCATCTTTCAATATATAGAATAGAATTAGTGGAACAAT